GTGGTAATTTGTACTATAGTATGATCCCTATTGTTATGTTTTGCTGTACAAGAGATTTTTATGGTTCCATTGTAGATGGCTAGTTTTCCAGGTACTAAAAATGGAAAAGAATGATGTTTTACGTGTATGTGTTTTATGAAAAGTTGTATATTAAGTCTTTGACTCAACATATATGTTTACACTAATTGACACAATTCTAAGGACCTAGTTGCCAGAGTTTCATGTGTTTGCTGGAACTGCTTTAAATAATGTTAGCTCTTAAGGGATCCATACTGTTCTGTTGGTATCTTGTTCATTTGATGTAGACTTCAAAATTATTTACACCAACAGGAATTATTGATAAAAAAAAAAAAAATTATCTTAACAGTCTGCACGTGATTGCCCTGCTGGCAATATTTATACTGTAGTTTTGATTTAGGGATCATTATTAATACTGACCCTCTGTTGCAGTTAATCTTCAACAGGGATCAGCCATTTAAGGTTATGACTTTCCATTTACTCTGTAATACTTGAGAGAGAATCAGAAAGCATACACTGTGGGCTGTTTTACATTGTGACTTTATGCTTAATCTTTCTTCTCATTATCTACACCAGTCTTATAGAATCCAGCCTTGGATCAGTGGCTACGAAGCTGAATTTTTTCATTCACAACCTTGCACAGCTGAAATTTAGTGGTTCAGATGAGCGGCTGACACTCTCCTTTGTTCCAAAGATATATACCATGAAGATGGATAGGAGAATCTGTGATGTCTTCCTGACTAGATATAAGAAGATATATAATCCTAATAAGGGATATGTAAGTAAATACCTAGTGTTATTTCCAAAGACGGTTTAAGATGTTCTTGTTAGGACATCTTTTACTGCAGTTCAAAGATGGAGCACCATAACTGCAGCACCCACTGTTTTTTCACAATGGGGTCTGCTTATACAGCTATTGGAAACATTATTTATCTGAGTGACTAGAGGAAGAATGGTTATTGTTGCCTATATCAATCAGTTGGATTCTCTATTCAGTTATTGAATGGTTGCTACAGACAGAAATAACATACATTATGGACATTACTACCTATATCATTTAGCATAATCTAACAGTGGCTTGTTTTATATTATTTATCTTTTATCACAGTTACATACACAATGAGGGAAATTTATCAAAACTGGAGCAGCTGTGCATTACAACCAATCAGCTTTTCACATCAGTTTGTTCAGTTAAGATTTAAAAATGAAAAAGATAAGCTGATTGGTTACCATGCACAGCTGATCCATTTTTTGTTTGCTCCAGTTCTGATAAATTCCCTTCAATATGTTTCACCAGTGGTTACTTCTAAATATTAATTCGATATGCCTATACATAGTTTATTTTTTATCTCTCCAGGTGTATGTGATCAAAGTAGTCAGAGAAAATGAAACCACACACATTCAGAGGTATTTTGAAGAGTTTCAGGAGTTGCATAACAAGTTAAGGCTTCTTTTCCCAACGTCACAGCTTCCCAGGTAAGTTTAAACAAGAAATTAGATTTTAATTTTCTAACTGAGAAAAAATGCCAGCTTATGCTTGCTTTAAAGTTAAATCGGCCTTTCTCAACCAAGGTGCCCTCTGGCACTCTTGGCTGTCTTCCGCAGGGGTGACTCGAAAGTTTCTGATTGTAGGACTCTGATATGAATGGGGAACTGACATAAACAGGGTTTCTGATGTGAGAGGGGGGCTCCTGATGTGAAGGGGGGCTTCTGGTGTGAAAGGAGGGGACTCTGATGTAAAAGGAGAGGGCTTCTAATGTGAAGGGGAGCTACTGATGTAGAGGGGGTCTCTGTGAAAGAGGGACTTTGATGTGAAGGGGGGCTCTTGATTTAAAGGGAGGACTTAAATGCAAATGATGGAACCCTACCTTTTTATGCGTTTTGCATACCACCACCCCCTTTACATTTTAGACTAGATGGCCTCAAGATTTTGCATACTTGTTAAGGGCACACCAGGTCTTGTGATTTTCGTCCGCCCTATAGCCACAAAGAGCTACACGTGTTCAGCCCTACACATTTGAAAGAAATGGTGGTGTTAGGGTTTTTACTGAGAATGTACACAAAAAAAAGTATGTGATGCATTGATCCTCCAACACTTCCTGTAAAGTGCTGGTTTGGGTGAAGTCAATTTCCCCTCTCCCCATTTCAGCCACATTAAACATCCCTGCCTACATCTGCTGCTGCTGATTGGCAGTTAGCCAGGAGAATATTCCCCTTCCATCCAGCACCATTCCTGAAGCTGATTCTTGAAAGCTGCAGCTGCTGCCGGTATGCTTGGCACTGCCCCCTCCTCTGACCATTGCTGTGCTGATGCCTAGGAGCCTTTAAGTGACATTTCTTCACACCTTCTTCACAATACACAAAATATACTGCCCACTGCCCTACCCTCTGCACTCCTCTTGTCACATCCTCTATACATGCTGCCTGTTGTCTTACTCTTTCCACTACTCTCCTGCACATACTGCCCACCACTATACCCTGAGCATGCCTCTCCCGTACATACTGCCCACCATCATACTCTGCACATTTCTCCCGCAAATGCTGCTCGTCATCATATCATTATTTTATTATACAGGATTTATATAGCGTCAAAAGTTTGTGCATCACTTTACAATGTAAGGAAGACATTACAGTTACCAGTACAAATCAAGACAAGATGGTAAGGGGGACCCTGCCCTTGAGAGCTTGCAAGCTATAATACATTGGCACTTTTCTCCTGCACATGCTAGCCACCATCATACCGTGTGCATCCCTTCATGTACATCTTACCCACTCAACATTATTTGTTATCACTAACCTAGCTTGATCTGAAATGAGCACACTTTTGCTAGTTACACATATAAAGGTTTTTTATAGAATATTATTTGCAGTGTTTTATTCCTCTTCCAGCTTCCCAAGCCGCTTTGTGATTGGTCGTTCCCGAGGAGAGGCAGCAGCTGAGCGTCGGAAGGAAGAGTTGAATGGATATGTCTGGCATTTAATCCATGCTGCCCCTCAGGTAGCTGAGGTGAGAAGAAATGGCTCATTTACATGCTACATTATTCCTTTCAAAAAAACAAAATGACAATTTTGGTGATATGTACATGTGATTGTTCGTAGGAAAGCTCATATTTGTTTACCAGTGAAATACAGCATAAACTGTATAATTGCATGTCATGAATGAAGAAAGAAATGGTATATTGTGTGTCAGGGGAGGTTTCAAGGACATGTATCTGATGCAACAATGCACATTATACTGTTTGGCCACTGCATGCAGTAGGAGTTGATGCTTTGTTTTATTTTACTGCAGGTGTTCCAAATATTCCTGTCCTGTGTACATTTTTATAACTGTCTGTGGCACTGTAAAAAAGATAGCAGAGATGTCACTAGCACACCAAAAAGGTTTCAGCAAAAGTCCATTTAATGACAAGTTGCCATTCAATTACAAGCGATTTCGGGGCCTCAAGGGTTCTCCTTCATCATGCTCAGCCGTCATTCTGAGCCTGAAACTTTTTTGGTGTGCTGGTCTCATCTCTACTATTCCTATGTTGTTCACGGTGCCATCCGTGCTCACTACAAAACACCCACCCATATGTACAGGATAGCTACTGTTCCGGTAAGGAGTGCAGCAAGATACCTACTCTACTATAAAAGAGATTTCCCCTTACTTCCTGTGCCATTGAGTTTTCCTCCGTACAGGAAGGAGTGGGAAATCTCTAAAGTGATCACGGTAAAAACATTTTAAAGTGATACTAAACTCCGTAGTTAAACCTTAAAAATGCATTCAAGTACCCTAACTATTAACAAAAATGTAGCCTATTTGTGTATCACTCAGCTGTAGATCCTCAAATCATCTCTGAATTTGTGCTGACACTGTCCATCCTTCCGGAGGGTGGCTACTTTTGTTCCTATGGCCCATGTGTGTGTGTGTTGTAAATTAGCCACCGCTCCAAGATCGCTTGTCTAAGCACTAACTGACCTGGCTCCATTGGTGGACTACAATCTCAATACAAATTATTAAAATGACACTAACCTCAGGAGTTTAATCTTAAAAACACATTCAAGTACCTTACCTATTAACAAAAATGTATGTTATTTGTGTTTCACTCGGCTGTAGATTCTCAACTCATTTCTGAATTCATGCTAACACTGTCCTTCCTTCTGGAGGGTGGCTACTTTTGTTCCCCATGGTTCAAGTAGCCACCACTCCAAGCTCACTCCAATGGGGGCCATGGGGAACAAAAGTAGCCACCTTGCAGAAGAAAGGTTAGGGTCAGCATGAATTCAGAGATGATTTCAGCATCTACAGCCGAGTGATACACAAGATAGATTTTTGTTAATAGTTCAAGTACTTGAATGCTTGTTTTGCTCTGGACTACAAATCCCAGAGACGTAAAGCTTATCCCAAGGATGAACCCAGGTGTAAAGCCTGGCAAAACTTTAATTTCTATTTTGTTGTCTGTTCTTGCAGTAAAGCTCAAGGAAAACTGACTAAGTAGCATTTAACCCCTTCATGACTGAGCTTGTTTTTAGTTTCTGTTCGTAAATGACTGACACACTTTTGACATTTTTGCTGTGTGATTCTTCCACGTCAGTAGTATACATACTTGGCAAAAATGTTGCGTGTACAAACTTAGTTACAGGAAAAACAAACATACATACTAGCTGCTACAAACAATCACATGCACCCACTACACTATCCTTCTAGTACATTAAGTTTTTCCATTGCTGTATACAAATAAGACCATTTGATAATATCAAAGTCTTTAGTTGCATCTAAAGATATTGTTGGAGAAAATCGATTTAGGCCTGCAGGTAGTTAAAAAAGTAACAGTTTAATTTGATTTGCAAAGATACAGCATGTACAACAGAAAGTCTGTGTAACAATGTGCCCAACTACCTTTGAGGATACAGCAGGTTTTATATTCTCACAGAAAAAGAAAGCAAAAAAGTCTAGTAGCAGTTATGCTTGCATAAAAAAAATGCAATGACTTCCGGTTCTAGTGCCAGATGGACTAGAAGTGTATGCCGGAGCTCTGATCCACCACCTCTTACCCAGCTCATTTTGCTTCTCATCCGGACCTCTCACCCGGTCTCCCATCCACGGCTGGCTATGGACAGATTTGTGACCCACTCGCAACCGACCCGCCATTCTCTTTCCTCCCCGTTCGACCAGAACGAAAATCGGACGAATGTGGAGAACATGGACGAAAGGGGATCAGATGCTGCCGAAAACTCAAGCGGTGAGTCACAGCTTCCAACACATGCCTGGATTGATTATCAGAGACTAGTTGCCACAGTGGCCTCTCATTTGAAATATGAGGTGGCTCATATCATTGCGTATTCCTAGCAAACCCATATGGGGCCTCCCACTGCAGGGCTGGAGGCACAGACAAATAGGCTTCAGGCCCTGGAAGACCATGCTGCAGCTTCTCAAAAATCGCAAAATGATACAAAACTACTACAATATTTGCAAGACAAAGTGGATGATCTGGAAAATAGATCCTGCAGAAACAACCTGCGGATGATTGGGATTCCTGAGTTGGTAAAACCGAGCGATTTGCAACAGTTCTGCTCCTCCACTATTCCCCAGGCACTGGGTATCACATCGATATACACTGTGGAGAGAGCACACAGATTGGGCCCCCTCAAAGAATCAGAGAAACCTAGGCCAGTCATCACCAGGTTTGTGGATTACTCGGATAAACATTGTATCCTACAAACATACAGAACACAACATCAACTGGTAGCGGAGGGCTACAAGCTGTTGTTATTTGCAGACTATTCTGCAGAACTCTCTAAAGTAGTGGTTCTCAACCTGTGGGTCGGGACCCCCTCGGGGGTCGAATGACAATTTGCCAGGGGTCGCCTAGTGGCTCTTGGCTGCCGGGAGAGAGACACTTTCTCCCGGAAAGGTCGGGACCTTTCTCTGCTCTGTTTTTTTTTTTTTAAATCGGGGACCGCCGTAAGTCAGAAAAAAAAACCCACCATAGAAATGCATAGCTAGATTCCTATTGGCTATTTCACTTTGAAAAAGCCAATAGCAAACTAGCTATTGCACCCGCCCTCTGATGTTGCCAATCAGCAGAAGGGGACATGAAGTTCTCCATCATGTCCCCTTCTAGTGATTGACAGCAGCAGAGGGCGGGTGCAATATGTATGTATTGAATAAAAAAATATGTAAAACACACTTCTAGCTATGCATTCCATTTTCCCGGTCCACAGCTGCAGAGATCGGGAAATGTCTCAGTGCCTGTGATTGGCGCTGTCAGCTTCCTGGCGGGCTCGGAGCTGCAAACTCACCCGAGCCCATCCCTATCAGTGACAGTACTGCGGAGTATGTACCTCATAAGTTATATAGCCACACACTTTAAATCCAATTCTTCTAGTTCCAGCTGCAGAGCCCGGTCCTGTCTTTGCCTATAGCAGTGGTTCTCAACCTGTGGGTCGCTGTGCAAGGTGAGAGTCCTCCTCAGCTCTCTCCTAGCTCAGCAGTGTCAGTTCTTCTGCCACGCCTCCAGATGTTGCTGCAACAGCCGTGTCATCCCTAAATTTTACCTTTGGGGGTCACCACAACTTGGCAAATGTTACTAAGGGTTCCCAGGCCCTAGAAAGGTTGAGAACCACTGCTCTAAAGCACCCCACGCTTTTCAAGAAGTCTGCCAACTTCTAGTGCATAAACATGTCAAGTTCACCCTGGCATACCCTGCTATCCTACGCTTTTCGGCTCCAGATGGGAAACAATTCCAATTCACTTCTGCCACTCCAAGCAAGGACCTATGTCGATAGACACTTCTCAGATGCCGCCTCAGCTTCTGCTTCCCTGATCAAGAGCCCTCCCCTGAAAAAAAGCCTGAATTCCCAACAGGTACTTGTTGCTCTGGACCAATTGCCTGCTCTGTTACTGATGCAAAACACTTCACACCCACACTGATTGTTTTTAGTAGTGTTTTCTAACTCTGTGATACATTTCTCTTATCGGTTGTTAAGAGAATACTCTGCAAGATGTTTTTCTTTTTTTTCGAATTATTCCTCAACCTTGGTCCAATTGCTCCGCTTACCCCGCGCTCACAAGTCCTATCTGATATCTGGAGGCGAGTTATTCAAGAGACATCATCAGTTGTTAGTCCTACTTTTGGATTATCACCTCTCTTCCTAAGATTCGCAGGATTCATAGAATAGGGTCAGCACTGGGACACCGGTGCTGATCCGATCCCTTGCTGTATCTGACCTTTACTCACTTCATTATGCCCCTCCTATTACTGGAATGGGATCCACCTTGAAAATATCAACGTGGAATGTCAAAGGACTCAAAACTCCTCAGGAACTAAAACAAATCTTACGACATCTGAAAAAAACAGATGTGGCGTTGCTACAAGAAACTCACCTCTCTCAAGAAGACATCAAACGCCTAAAACAGTCCTGGGTAGGCGCCACTGTGGCCACCCCTGCTAAAGGCCACTCTGCATGGACTGTGATTCTTATTAGGAAGACTCTACCATGTTCCCTACTTTCCTAGCAACATGACATGGGTGAGGGTCGTCCCAAGTTTCCTTACAGCTGGGGGATGTAGTGCTGGATATCTGGAATATCTATGGCCAAAATTCAGACAAGAATTTTTATGACATGCTCCTATCCCGCCAGTCCCGTGCTACTCCGAATACTTATGTTCTCCTGTGAGGGGACTTCAATGCAGTTCCTGACACTCTGGAGGATCGCTCTCGGACAAGAACCCGCCCCTCACAATCTACTTACTTCCAGGATTGAAACCTACTTAACATGTGTCAGGCAGCTGGCCTTATAGATATTTGGCGCTTTCTACATTCTAAGGACAGGGAATATACTCACTTCTCCCATGCTCATGACTCCCTCTCTTCGCTGGACTTATTTCTCACATTGCCTAACCTTGTTTCTAAAACTTCCTTAGTAACAATTGACCTGGTTATATCGGACCATGCTCCGGTAATGATGACATTACACAATCTGGGACTAACCTCCCGTCCTCCTTCATACCTAGTGTAGGGGTCT